TTTTTTCTGCGACTGGACGCTCGTCTAACACATTTTTCAAATGTTACTTGTTTCAGAACATTCAAATGTAACGCTTCTGTAACGTTTGCAAAATGATACAATGTAACGTTCCCTTAATGCGCGTACGTTTAAAAAAAAACTAACTAAACTATAACAGTGCATTGCTTGTTGAATGCAGTCAGAATTGCAATTTATGTAGAAAATGGAATGAGATTGTTTATTTTCTCCCCATCGTGTTAATACCAGTTTTCTTAAATGAGGGAAAGTCAAGTAGAAAATCTGTGCACAATGGCAAATATCTACTCATATTATTTTGCCAGAAACTATTTCCTACAATGCATTTACTGTCAAATCAACAGATAATGTCAAAATCATGACATTGCATGAACGGAACAGATCAAAATCATGAGATTGGGGCTTTTTTCTTCACAAAAATGAACAGAACAATGGGCTGCATCACAAGCAGCTGGATTTAAAAGCCATTATTTGACTTTTGAGCAGCGTCTTACGAGCGACAGAAGACTCCAGAGATCAGGTGAAGCTCAACACGTTTCAATATCATCATATAAATATCAGCATCTGCAGCAAAATCATGTTTTTGCTCAGTTTGAGTCTGCTCTGAATAAAACAGAGCTGTTTTTCCTCTATATTCTCACTTTATCAGATTATATGAGCCATAAAAGCATGCACACACAACCATATGCAATCTTTTTTTAAATCAGAAAATGTCAGGCACTACAGGGTTAAAAGCATTCAACCCTGAACGATTGAATATTAAATAAATGCATGCATATGCAATGCTTTATGGAAGCTTGTTTCCTCCATGGAATAAAAAAGTGCAACATTTTCATCTTGCAACTTTATATCTCAGAATTAGTTTTTTTTTCTTCATCGTTTTCATCTTTGTCTTTCTGTTAATAAGCAGTGAGATGAGATTTATTCTGTTGCAAAAAAAAAACAGAACTGCACGATATAAACTCTTTTTTTGTTTCCACCACAGAATAAAAGAAGAACATACTGAAAAACGAATGCAATAACGGTGGAAGTTTCGAAATGAAGAAATCCAACGGATATCCAAAAGTGTGTTGATTATAACTTCGAGTAATTGTAGTTTAAAGCTCCGTGTCTAAATATATTTTGTCTAAAGGTTCAATAAACGCTTCCACATGCTGTCAAAAGCATTCGACGCTGAACGACTGAATATGAAATAACACTTGCATATGCTTTATGGAAGCTTGTTTCTGCCACGGGATAAAAAAACGAGTGAGAATCAGTCAGACTGATATTAAGAATGGATGAAACGGCACTGAAGATGAACCTCGTTTGCACAGACGCAGCAAAACAAATTTAATTTTTCTCTTTTGAATATATGCACAATATATGTTGTTAACAATGAGATATATTTTTAAGATTGAAAATATATTTAGTTTCAACCAAACATATTTCAAAAAACATTTCCAATTACAGTTTGGTCTAAATGCAAATATTTATACAGATTATAATGTTTCATTTTCTGAATGAGATGTGTCATATTTTCACGTTTTTGGCTTCAAATGTGAAATGTGAATCTATTTTCTTGTACTGAAAATATATGGAGGGCAAAATAAATGCTTTAAAATATATATTTATATATTTGTTTTAAATGTCAAAAAACACATAAATATATTTTGAAGCATATTTGAGCAAATTAATATTTTTGGGGCCTTTTTTTGTATATTTTGAAATACATTTAAAATGTATTTTTTGCTTTATGGATCTGGACTAAATAAGCTTTGCTTACTTGATTATCCAGACCTCATTTTTTAGAGAAATCATGTAAATGTGAGTCTCAAATCTGATCATCAGGCTTCTGAGGAACGTTATTTGTTCTTCATTGCATTGCATTATATGTTTGAAACTACAGAACGATCTCTTACCTTCGGATTCTCCAGAATTCCAGATTCATAGCTGTTAAAAGAGATTTTGATCACGTTTTTTGAATGCAGTAACAACAGCAGTAAAGAAGCAGTAAAGTGTTTTTTGTGACGGACTTCACCTGATGTGCATGAGATTTGCATCCATGCTCCACGGAGCCCTCGGCGTGACGGGAACAGGAATACCGTGTGTCTGAACATGGGATACAGGACTGCCTTTGAAACACGATCAGCCTCAGATAATGAGCTCTATCTAGTGGACTGAATCAGGAGAGCATCCCTGGAGCTGAAGCGGTTTTGGGTTTAATTCACCTTTATATGCAGTGTCTTGTAGTGTAGGTTTAATTAAAGACTTAAAAAATTAAGTAATTTAATTAAAGAGTTATCTTCTTTAACTAAAACTGAGAATAAAACCATTTTGGGAAAAAAAAAAATTGTTACTTGAAATTAAATGAGTGTAAAAATAAAATAAATAAAATATAGAATATAAAAAAATTCAACTGAAATAAAAAATAATAAAAAATAAAAACTATATAGACATATTACATAAACAAATTAAAACGAAAAAAGGAAATACAAAAATAAAAAAAATTCTAAATATTAGGAAAAACACAAATGTGACCCTGGA